TTCCCCAGACTTTGTTGTATAACTGTCATAATGATACAAGACGAAAAAGGTCTAACTATTGAAGGTTATGTTCTATTCTGAGTGCTATAACACAAAAACCTAGTACCCTTCAAAGACTAGGCTTTTTATCTACTCAATTAGACGAAAGTTTAGTTCTTAATCTTTTATTAATAATAAGTAGACTAGGGTCACTGGCTAGGATGCTCCACAAGAAAAAACTTAATAGAAAATGTTTTCTGGAATTTGTAACCACGATTTTGCCTGGACTTTTCAATACGAGAGATAAGTCAAATTATCAGTGAGTCAATAGATAAATCATTCTCACAAATCTATTATAATTAATTATATGGGAGAAAGTCTCATAGATTTATATGCATGAATCATCAGATACTGTGTATCTTTTCCTCATGATCATTAAATGTATTTCTCTTTGCTGTAAAATATTCTTTGGTGTTGCTGTTTAATTTTTAAACTATAATATCTGATGTTGATTGTCTGACAATAATAAAGTAGATTTTTTTACCCCATGAAAGAAAAAGGGAACTCAACCCAAGGTTTCTTTGGTGAGGAAGAAAATAATTTGGGTCATGACTTTCGGTGATTTAAGATTTTGCTTATTCAGAGTCTAAGCTCGAGTGAGGACAAGTGAAGAGGAAAATGAAGAGGAAAAGAGTGTCTTCAAAGCCAAAATCTGAGATTTCATTAACAGTAGTCACTGGTATCTTTTTTAAGCCTTTGGACTTTGCACAGGTGAGTCATTTAATTGTGTACTAAACTTTAGTGTGCTGTTGCTCTATCTGTCTACCCTCTCAACACTAAACCACAAGTTTTTGCTCCGTGTGTCAATGTTATCTCCACTAGTATGGCTCTTTGTGTTAAGAAACATTCAACAAATGTTTTTTTTTTTTCAGGGCATAGATGTTTCAATGTCATTTAATCTGCTTCAGTATTGAATTTAAAGCTTCCAGTGAATCATTGATAAAAATAGAGAGGAAATGTATTTCCACTTAATATACACCTCTCAAAGTCCTCTTATGAAAGTCCTTTGTCATACGGAGCACCTTCCAAACATCTGAAAATCAATCTTGTTCATGAAACAGTATCTAAGGTTTTTAATAAAATTATTCTTGTCCCCTCCAAAACTTAAGGTGACAGTCCATAGGTCTGATTGTAGCCGAAGACTTGGACATTTGGGACCTTTCTGAATTTTTCAGTGTCAGGGGAAAAGCAGATACAACTTTTTGTGTGAAGGTATGGATCAGATATTGTAGCTTTGCACTGATACTGAAGTGATGCAGAGGAAAGAGTCTGAGAGAAGATTTGTCTGAACAAGTAGCAAGCATTAATGGTGGATACTTTACTTCGCTATGCCTAACTTTGAAAAGAGATATATTTGAACTAGAACCATAGCTATTTAAGCCAAAGTACTTCCTCTATGTTGAATAGACTTTGGCATCTTTACACCATCAACAAATCTGTCCATGTTTTATTTCCATATGGAAGTTAAGTTTCCCTTCTGTCATCTTTTCCTAAGTGGAACTAAGAAAGACAGAAGAGTAGAAGGAAAAAAATTTTAAAAAAGATGCACCAATTCAAAAGAGAATCTGCTAGAGAATAGACTTGGCAGGTTTGTTCAGCAACTCTAGCTTAAATGTACAGATCTGAGAGATAAATCTGCTACCAAGTTCACCTTTGATGTGAATTCAGTCTACTTTCATTGTTAAGAGATCTTGAGGTAAAGATGACAGTTTCACATCTCATTATTCAGCCATTAGTCTTCTTAAAATAACCAAGTGCAGCTGAAAAAGTGAAAATTGCCAAATTTTGACCAATTTATCTTCCTTAGTCTCACATTCCATTTGCAGTTTCATTGCACCTTTTCAGCTTGTTTTCATTCTGGTGTCATTAAGAGTTTTAATTGTAGGCGTACATACACACAGATCCATCTAGGGGTGTGTGTACATATACACACACACACTTGCAAGACATTCTGAAGATATAATCTTACTAGAAATATTATGTACCAGTCAGTCAGTAATTTTGGTTTTGCACTACTTCATGACGCCATTACAAGTGAGATTCCTCTAGGACAACCTAGACACTTTAATGTTAGCTATGTAAGTTTGATGTAACCCCACAGGTTCTTTTATAGTCAGCAAAAAAAGTTAGATCCAACAAGGCAATTAATCTCACCTTTAGGCAGATACCTTGGATAGAGCAGATGAATAGCCATGGAAGATAAAGGGAACCATGGCTGCCTAGCAGAGATATAGGAATCAAACTTTTACACATCAAAACGTAGCTGTTATGAATCCCAGTCTCCGTTACTCACTTTTGCTGCTTACTTCCCTGTCTCTGGAATACAGACAGAGAAACTGCTTGAGAGATCGTACCCTCTATAAATGTCAGTGGGGTCAGTTCATCCTGCTTTCAGATTGCTGAAAGTCCTATTTCACTGTTCATAGAGACTGATCCAACTCAAATGGCTGTTACCTACAACTCCTTCCTCCTGGCTGTTCTGCATCTTCATCTCCTGCTTCCATGCTGTTCTGCCATTTCCCATTCTCTCCCTGAACCTGAAGTCACACAGTACCTCACTGGAGATAGACTTATATTCCTATCAGATCTAATTTTATAAATAATAACCCTTCAGATGATAGAAAATAAGTATCAATTTCAAGTTGCAGAACAAGGGAAGCCTGCCAATGCATTTAAAATCCTTATGATTCAGTGATCAATTAGGCATTTTATATGTAAATTTCTGGTTTTGTACAAATAACTTGCAAGCCTCATCAAAATTTATTTCCATTTTATGACTCCATCACCTTATATGATGTACAATTCATGGGGAGTTCAAGGCATTCTCAAAAATGTTTCTGAGAGATTACAAGTATCAGTTCAATATGGTCATTCATTATTATGACTACCTTTTACAAATATTGAATGTCTTTTACACAAGGGGTTATAAATAAAAAATCAGACTACGATAAACATCAACCCACACAAAATTGCGTTTTTTACCCTACGTGTCACATTTTATGGCTGGATTTATCTTTCCTAAAAGTACACCCAGCCTCCACCTTGTCAGATTTGAATTCAATTTTTATATTTAAACCCCTCTGCAAATATTTTTGTATGGCATAATCTCAAAGGTCAGAACAATTACGCATTAAAAAATGAAAAAACAAGTAATTCTTTGTATTGTTGGAACCATTCTGTACTTCAGCAATGTTCAATAAAAGTTAGCAAGTAAATGCATTTCCCACATATTAAATTCTGAACCAGTCTGAGGTTTCATAAATATCATCTTGGGTGTTCTGCTTTTTCCTTCACTTCTCATGTCTTTCACTATATCAGACCACTTGCCTTTCCTCCTACTCAGTGTTTTGCACTGACCATTCAACACAATCCTCTGCAGGGAGCTGCCAGTCTCAGTCCAGGCGCTCCGTTTTTTGCTCATGAGTGGCTTCTTGCCTAAGGGCTGCTATCTTTTTCCTGCACAGCCTATGACTTCCCATTTAAATCATCATCCACTTCAGCACATTAATAGCCCTCCTCCTCTCTCACTCAGCCGTCACTTTGTCCCCCTGTGCCATTCTGGCTTAATCACTCACCTCAGCAGATTATTCAGCATATATTTGGGGCAGCATGTCTGATGGAATAACAGTCATCACCCTATGCTTGCACAGAGGATGTTTCATAGCCCTCCCAACACCTGCATTCACAGCCTGATAGCAGCTCATCCCTGAACTGGGGTGTTCAGATTGCATTGAAAATTTTACTGTCTGATTCTATTGCTTTCTCATGTCCCTTCAGATATACCTGAAATACCTACACATCAACCGATACATAATGGCTGTACTTCATTAACATCTTTTCCTAATTCAGTCCTCCATTTTTCCATGCTAAATCCTAGTTTCCCTCTTTCATTGCTTCCCAGCATTCACTCAAAGCATACTTCAGGAGCATTTCCTCTACTAGTCGACTTCAACACTTTTTGTAACAGTATAGGGTCAAGAATGATCTTGCATAAACTTGCTGCTTCTCTTTGCTGCTGTGCCACTATCAGGCACACTCAATTACAATTCACAGCCAGCAGTTTCCACAACCATAGGCATTTCCATGTTCTCAACAAGGATATCTTCACTAATCTCACAAATACAATATGCACTTCATTTTCCAATTTTTCTTTCTTGAACTACATGTTGAAGATACTCCTAGTAGTCTGTCTAGTACAGGTCTGAATCATTATTTTTTTGATATTCTAGATCACCTATGAAATATTTGAGACTCTCTAGTCATTTCTTTGTGCAACCACTCACTTGGTGATTTAGTAAACTCATCCTTGCATGTTGTCTCCATGTCAAGGGATAAAGCCCTGTGGTGTGTTCTGTAATTTGAGTGTATGCATTATAAAATACTTGTCATCTTAATATAGTGTCACTGGTCTATATTTGAGGGGAGTTCCACTTGTGTATTGCACACACTTTTCTACAGCAATTTCAGTCCTGAGTGTGTATTCCTCCTGCAACCTAAATAAAATCAGCAGGATCCCAGCAGCAGTTGATTTGGGGTATAGAGAACCCAGACTGCTGTGCCAGTAAACTGTGCTTCTTAATTAGGAGGCCTCTGGCAATATTTATATTTCAATTTACATTCTGCCTGGTGGCATGTTTGGAGGAAATTGTATCACTTTTGTTCACAACTTCATGCATACCTGGAATATTTGTGAATATTCAGCAAAACATTTTATTCTCTAAACCAGTATATTTGAAGTTTTAGAGCAAATGTTAGAGTAGATTAAAAGATGATGGGTCTATACCTCTTTCTAATGCTTTATAGAATTCTCAGTTACGTGAAAATGAAACAACAATCTTATGTTGGGAGCTAACAGTGTTCCACCTCTGACAGTGAAACCTTTGGTTTCCAAACTGGCCATTGACATTTTAGCACATTTATGACTGGCAGAGGAAAAGGATAAAAGAATATGTTTTACTCACCCAAGGAGTTTGACTGAATGAGTTTTCCATTTAGATCCTGCTTTCTGGGAGTGTCTGTAGATTCCCTCTTTGTAAAGAAAAAAATCTTCATACACTTTCATTATAGCTGAAAAACAATAGGAAAAATCAGCACAGTCAGCAAATATTACTTTATTCTTGTTTGCTCCTTGCATTTTATCATTGAGATTTTTGGGGTGTGTTGGACTGCATAAGGGTACTTTGTAATTACACAAATTTCACTCATTGCTCAGAACTTCCCTTCTGTGAGTGAACTGAGGGATATATTCCAGCAGAGTTCTCTCAAAGGTCTCTTGTCAAGTTAATTGGGTTTCTCTGTCATGGAAACTCTCTATCCCAGACTTCTTCCAATGCAGAATGAATAATGATTGCTTAGTGTATGCTTACACAAGTTTTCTCAGTTCTAGGGAAATCCAATTCAATAAACAAATCTCCACAAGGTTCATGTATAAAGTCCTCAGTACTGAAAAGTATCTGCATATTCAAGAAAAGTATTTAACTGACAGTCTACAGCCTGTGAAACATGGTGGAGTGCTATGTATGCCTTTTCCTGAAACTCGGATAGAGTTCATTAAGTACACAGCAGTCTCCTCAGGGAAAACTAGATTGTCTGTATATATGTTCATCTTGACTTTCAGCTAAAAGTGTGGGGAAAAAAAACCACTTTGAGTCCCTAAAGTATAAGACCAAAGAGCTGATGAAATGGAAATTCTGGGCAAGAGAATGAGATTACAATTTGTATTTTATGTCAATTCATTATTTCCTAGGAATATAATTTACTTGTTTTTTACGAAAAACGTTCAGGGTTTCTTTTCCAGATTTGTCCTGCCACTTTAGTACCATTTGCTTTGCCATATGGTAGGCTACTAAATCCAGGGAAATGAAAATATTTTCCAGGGCTACATTCCCTTTCTGTCCCAGTGAATCAGAAAGACTAAATACAAGCTTAACTCCAACTTACTTCGGAGTAAAGCTTATGACTTTAACAGTCTTAGAATGCCACACAGTTTAGAACATTAGAATTAATGAAGTTCAGTTTCCTAAAATCTTGTACCTTGGGTGTTCCATAAAGTACAAGTTTCACTGACCATTTTTATGTGGTTGAAGCACGTATAACGTGTGCCTGGTATAGATCTGTGGTATCCTGTAAGGTGACCTCATGCTGCAGTTTCTTCTGTATGGCATACTTTCAAATTTCTTTTTCCTACCTGAATATTTTCGTAAACTTGAGGGAAAATTAACGGTCTTTACAACTTCTTGGCCTCTCTCTTACTTGGCTGAAAACAGAAAACATTCACAAAATTTAGGGGATGAAAGAGACCAACTCAAAACATGGTCAAATAAGCCCATTTGCCCAGAAAACCTGGTTAAAAATATACTTAGCTAACGAAGTCTTTCACATAAAAAATTTATGCCAATAGCAAAAAAATGGGAATTCAGCAGCCATGATGCTACCTAGGTGGCAAGTCTGGGGGAGAGCTATATCAATTGAATCAGAAAAAAAGTTAAATGCTTTTAATGAATAATGTTACTGCTTCTGCAGATCTCCCTGCAGAACCAGAGCTCACATATACTGCAATGGTGTGTCCCCTTCTCTCTGCCCCCAGGCTCACCAGTGTAAGCTCAAACAGGAGCTTAACTACAGTGGCTGTCCCTGCACTGCTATGTAAGATACCGGCTGTTGAGGTTTTGGAGCTGCAGAGAGGCCTGTGGAAGGAAAGCGGTACAAGGGGACAGAAGGGGGAAGGAGACTCCCACTGTCCTTAGTCCAGGTGAGGGTGTCAGAGGAGAAGCCAAGGGGATGTGTCATGAAAAAATTAATGTAGAGGCTTCTCTTGTATCTTGATGTCTTGGGGGAAAGGAAAAGGGAAAGGGAAAGGGAAAAGGGAAAAGGGAAAAGTGCAAGGAGTGCAAAATTCACTTCTCCTGTAAGAGGTTTGAGGTTCCTTGATCTCATGTATCACCAGGCCGAGAGAGGAGAAGGTAGTTTCATTTCCAAATCACACTGTTCTTTGAAATCAAGGTCTGTGTGTTCAGTTTCAGAAAACCATTCTTTATCAACAGCTCTAAATCAAATACATGTTCTTGGCTCTGTGATGAAACATCATACCTAAATTACTTCCACTGTAATGAAATAGAAAATTTTGAAGGGTGTTTCCAGAATAACTTCAGTCTACATGACAGAATTTTATCCATGACTGCATATTATACCTACATTTACTCTGTGTTTGTATATGTGCATACATATATTTGTATACATATGTAAATATATATAGTTATGTCTATGTCTCCTGCAATCAGGAGCTAAATAAAGGTACAGTATTTGGAGTTAAGTGGGCTGGGTACATGAAGTGTAGAGTGGACAGAAAGATGATAATTCAAAATCAAGCACTGAGATATTTTTATTTATTCAGTGACTGTGTCCTGTTATGGACCACAGCTTGGACAGATGAGAGGAACACACTCCACCAGCCAACTGTGTTCTCTCCCACGTAGAAGAGACTGTATTTTTCAAAATAAATGGATTAATTATTAATGAATCAGAAGAGGTAGCAATTTTCATAGGATAACTGTCGCTCATGCATGAGCTACCTCAGTCATGCTGAGCTGTCAGATCTATGCATATAAATGCAGCAGATTATCAGGTTCATTCCAATATGTATACCTCTGCATAAAATTCTTAAATAAGAATTTGTGTCTCTAAGATGCACAAAGGTGCAAAAACTTAAAAAGTAGTTGCTATAAAAGGAATTAAGTGTAGCACTGTATATTGATGTATCATACTGTTTTCCCCAGACCTTTTTCTCATGTCAGCACACTAAATACTCCTTTTCTTTCTAAGATCGTGATAGCTGAAATTATAAGTTTTTAGGGTCAAACTGTGATATATTGTCAACAATGTGTTAGCTTTTCTTTTGGTTGAGACTGACTAATATGACAGAAGGGATTATTTTCCTATATCAGCACTCTAACTATCAGAGTATTTCCTAAAGACCATTAAAAAGAAAGATGAGTGAGTAATATTAGATTGTCCATTTGAAGGTTTTCAAAGCATTAATGAAACTTCACTATGTTTATTTGAAAACGGATTTTTTAAAAAACTAGTGTTTCATCATTTGCCTCTGAAAGTGCTAATTGCTCGGTTCCTGTACCAATGACGTAACTGTCATTCAAATTTGAAAAACGTGAAACAAAGTTTTTAATTACATTCCTACACTGCTGTCTCACAATGGATAAAAATATTTTTTTCTTAGCTTTGAATATGCACAAAAAGCCCAAGTACATTCATCATCAAACAGAATGACTTTCTGCATCATGATCTTGAAAGGATCTTGAATGTTTTCCAGCATTACTTAGTACATTAGGTAAGAGTGGCCATGAGCACTTTGTAAGTTCTTGAGGAATGACAAGTGAATGAATAATGCAAAAATATCTTTCAGTAACTGAAGATCATTTGCAGGATGTTTTTTTGTGGGGAAAAAAAAAAGTATGATATGGTATTAAAATTAGAATTATGCCCTGATTGCATTTGCAGTACAGGAAGATGGAAGTGTGAATCATTGACAAATTACTGGGTCATACCTGTGCTTTACTTTAAAATCTCATTGTAACAAAAAGAAAAAATTTAAAGTGACCTCACTCAGTGATACACACTCTGGGTTATACACTCTTCTTCAGATCTTTATTTTCCACATACAACATTACCTTAACCTGATACAGACACTTTCTCTGAAAAAGCATTGCCATTTCAAAAAATCATATGAATTATTGAGTGGTTAAAGCCCAACAAATGGATGAATATAGATTAGTTTCTGTGTAAGATTTAGTACTGACAGATTAATCCAGCAAACTGTGTGTACATGGACTACGAATACAATATTAGAGAGCAACCTGAAATTTTATCTTGAGGATCCTAATTTTTTCATTTTCTTAAAGCCAGTGGAAAATACTGTATTCACTTCTAGATCAAATGCAACATGGGAAAAAATATTTTCCCTGAGTAAACAAACTTGGACAGAACAAAAAAGACTGATAGTATTGATCTTGTTAAGTATGAACTTCAGATCAATTGCAACTGCCCACATAAAGAGCTTTGAGAAGTAAATTCAACTCCATGATCCACTGAAATGAATTAAATCTAATAATCAAGACCATTTCAATACTAAATTGGAGGTTATGATAATTCATTATAGAATTGAGGGCAGTAGAAATGCAGAACTCCCCTGAAGTAAAATGCTTTGGTTTTGCATTGGCCATCCATCCAAGAGGGATGGACATCCTACACTATTTTCCCCTACCACTCCAAGGCCCACATCCCTCAACCTCTTCAGTTGCACTGGTCTGGGGTGACAGCAGGAACCTGCATTTTCAGATGCTGCCAGCACCATCCATGGCTGCAACTGGAGATTGTTCAGGCTAAATAACTCTTTTGCATTCCCTCACTCATTCCCTCACTTCTTTTTCCCCTACCACTCCAAGGCCCACATCCCTCAACCTCTTCAGTTGCACTGGTCTGGGGTGACAGCAGGAACCTGCATTTTCAGATGCTGCCAGCACCATCCATGGCTGCAACTGGAGATTGTTCAGGCTAAATAACTCTTTTGCATTCCCTCACTCATTCCCTCACTTCTTTTCTCTG